CCCCCCCCCCCCCCCCCCTTTCATTCATGAGAAAAATTCAGTTCAGAGAAAAACGTTTCTTTGAGAATTGAGCATGTTTTATGCAAGCAGCAATTTAATTTGTTTCAAGCTATGCTATGCAAATGAGAAACATGTAACAAATATAAAATAGGTGTTATCCCAATTTGGCTCGAACAACAGTTCGACTCGAACATCGGTAGTTCGTGTGTTCGACGAACACACAAACTATCAGGGCGTTCGCCGGGCTATTCTCTCGCTGAGCGCCCCACAAGCACTGTGCACTGCACAGTGCCTTCTAAAGCCCTCATTGGGTAAAGCAATTCACCTGACCACAGTGCACTCTAAGAGCCATGATTGGGCAAAGTAATGATGACTTTGCCCAATCACGGCTCGCAGCTAAGTCCCAGCCCCACACTGTACAAGGCTGGTTACACCACAGCCTTATGTAGTGTGTTGCTGGAGTTAATGATAGAGTTAGGTGTAGTAAGGTGTAGTGTAAGCTAACTGGTGTCAGTGCTTTATACAGCATGTTAGTGCTATATACAGTACTCTGTACTGAATATAGTATTATTTTCTGTGCTGTATATTCGCTGTCTTTTTTTGTTTGTTTGTTTGTGTCATCGCTAGTGTTCCTCCTTCTGCGTTGCCATTGTTCCCATTGTTTTAAAAAAAAAACATTTTTTTTTGTACTTTTTTTTGCAGCAGCGGGTTCTTTTTCTGCCTCATTGCCGTTCCCCCTTCCGTGTCACAGGTGTTCCCCCTTCTGCTTCGCAGGTGTTCCCGGTTTTTTAGTTTTTACTTTTTTTTTTAGAAGCAGGTTCTTTTGTTGTCTCATTGCTGTTCCCCTTCTGCGTTGCAGGTGTTCCTGTTTTTTTTTTTTCTTTTTTAATTTTTTTTTCATAATAAACCATTGTACAATAGTTTATAGTGCACCAAGCACCACATTCAATAAAGTATTGCACCCGAGCACCAATTTCCTATCCCACATTCTCTAGTAAAATTTTATAATAAGCCCCATATCATGTCTGAAAGGCCAACAAGGAGACAGGTGTGTGACAGGTGCATACAATTTTAATTTTGTATAGCAGGGCCCATCCCTGCGCTCGTCAAGAGTAAAGGTGCCCATACACTGTACGATTATCGTACGAGAATTGCGGTAAATCCCGTGATTGTACCATAATCGCAAAGTGTATGGAAGGCGTGCGAACATTTCTACTGTACGGTCGCATGCTTCCGTCGTCTGGGGATCGCAAGTACGATCTGCCTGTCCAAGATGGG